CCCCTGTAACAAAAACAGATATTTACAGTTTGCAATGGATCTTTGTTCACTGCAGAGGCGGCAATAGTGACTGAATGTAGACCTTGCAACACAGATATTTCCAACAGGCTTTACATAACGACACTACAATATCACCTGTTTTATTTCTAATAATTTCTAATAATCCCCAGCATGGAGCTTGCCTTTTCTGTCATGGCAACATTTTCGTTGAGTGATACCCCTGAGATCTCTTTCCATCTCAGCCAGCTCAGACCCCATCCACATATATTTTTAAATTAGGATGTTTTGTTCCCCCGTGACACAAACTGAGTCCAGGGGCACCCTTAAGACCAGCAAAGTTTTGTTCTGGGCATGAGCTTGGGTGTGAACGCACACGTCTTCTTCTTCCGATGAGACCCTTCTTCACATGTCTGAAGAGACGTCTGTGCGTGTGCACGCCCAAGCTCATGCCTTGAGCAAGACTAAGGTGCCCCCCCCCCACTGGGGGACTCAGACTTTGCTCTGCTGCTTCAGACCAACACGGCTACCCCCTGAATCTACCCTCGTGCCCATGTGCATTGCTTTACCAACACTGTGTAGATAGGTGCCTTGAAAGCAATCTATCCTGTGCCGCCAAGGAGTACGCTTTCTTGACGAGACCCAGTGTTTGCCAAGTTCACGGTCCCAAGGGTAGGGACCTTTTGGCCAAGTGCAATTGCAAGGGTACCTCTTCCCATTTTATCATCGCCTTTTAGATCCTGATTGCAAACTCCTTTGGGAGGGAGCAACATCGCCAGTGGATGCCCACTTGTGTGCCTTCAGTTGCCCCGGGCTGCTTGTTCCAGGTCTCTGCTCTACAGCCCAGAATAACACCGAGCTTCAGCATCACGGCTTTGTCTCGGTGGGGGGGGGGATAGCCCAGTCGTCATGCCCTCCACTGTCCCTGTACAAAGGTCTTGTGGGCTGCAGGAACCGCAGCGGTCCTCCCTGCCCAGCACGAGGAGTCCTTGCTTACCTGCCACAGCAAAGTGCTTCGTGTGCTCGCGGCTTCTGCGCCTTTCCCCGGCTGCTGGGGTGGGCTGCCCACGACTGGAGCAACCCTGCAGTGGAGGCTCCGAGAAGAGCCGCTGCTGGAGAAAACTGCCTTGGGCTGATGCCGACACCGCCCAGTCCTCGCGCCCAGGGCTCGTTTTGTAGAAAAAGCCCAGCAGGAACTCATTTGCATAATTGGTCACACCCAACAGCAGGAACTCATTAGCATATTGGGCCACACCCCTGAAAGCGCAGCTCATTCGCACATTAGGCCACACACCCCATGTTACCAGAAGTGTGGTCATCCAGACACACTCACCTTTTGCTTCTTATTCTGTTTAGGGCTTTTTTTGTAGCAGGATAGCCAATCCTAATGAGTTTCTGCTGTTGGGTGTGGCCTATTATGCTAATGAGTTCCTGCTGGCCGTGGCCAACTTGGGAGCCAGCCGGAACTCCGTTCCTGTGCGTTCCTGCCCAAAAATAGCCCTGCTCGCGCAAGGAAAGTGTCCGGCCCCATCCCCCCATCCCCTTTTGCGGCCACTGTGGCCTTCAGTTCCTGCCCAAAAATAGCCCTGCTCGTGCAAGGAAAGTGTCCGGCCCCCTTTGGCGGCCACTGTGGCCTTCGGCATTCTCTCCTGGACCCACGACCCACCTCGGAGGCTAACCCAAATGCTGCCTGCTTACCAAGGCACTTGGCATGGGGTAAAACGCCCAACTCCTGCCAGGCTCAGACAAAAGACTTCCTGGTTGCCTCTTCTGGCTGGGTGCTGCCCTGTGTGGTCCACGGCAACTCATGAGGAGAGGGAGGGGTGCCTGGGAAGGCTTCTTCTCTTGTCCACCGCCTGCCACTTACACCTGGATCTCTGCCCAGGGTCGCAGGGAGACAGCATCACCCGGGAGAACATAAGAACATAAGAGAGAAGCCCCAGTTGGATCAGGCCAGTGGCCCCTTCAGGCCAACACTCTTCTGTGTCACACAGTGGCCACAAATACCAGGGGCCACCAGGAGGGCCCATAACAACGCTTATGTGTGTTGGGTTTGATATGTGTTGGACTTGATATGCTAGGAGGACACTCCAACGGTTGAGGGCCCTACACTTGTATCCCATTTCGGTAACGCTGTGGGGATTTGAACCTGGGTCCCATAGATCCTGGTCTGGCACGACTACACAACATTGTTAGGGCGAAGGCCTCATGCCAAGCAACATAATTTTAATGTTCTAATTGAACAGCCAAAAAGTACCAGAATTAATAGGTGCCATATTGAGACACGTCACTGGTTTATCAGTAGCATCTGCTTTTATTGGCATTGACTCTCTAGAGTCTGGTTAAGGTCTTTCCCATCACCTACTGTCTGAGTCTTTTAGCTGGGGATTGAACGTGGGACCTTTTGCAGGAAGAACAGGTATCTATCACTGACCTGCAGCCCCACCTTACTGTGAGCACCTGATGCTCTGGGGCAAGTGATGCTCTGTCTTCTTGGTGCTTAGGGGGGGTCAACAGTGGGAGGGCTTCTAATGTCCTGGCCCCACTGGTAGACCTCCTGAGGGCCCCTGGTATTTCTGGCCACTGTGTGACAAAGAGTGTTAGACTGGATGGGCCTTTGGCCTGATCCAACATTGGCATCTCTTATGTTCTTATGACATTTTCTTCGAGTTATCTACTACGACTCCAAGATCTCTCTCTCTCTTGGTCAGTCTCTGCCAGTTCGGACCCCATCGACGTGTATTTATAGTTGGGATTTTTGGCTACCCGCCACCTGCACCCCCCTCACCCCTCCCAAATGTGCCATGACATCCCTGCCCACCTGGGCATACCTGAGACAGAAGCCCTCGCCCGCCCTTGGGCTGGACCTCCCCTGCCTCTCAGCCCGCTCCTTCCAAGGGCCCCCCCCCTCCATGCCAGGGAACAGAGGCCGATTCGGTAAAAACGTGGTGTAGTTTATTAAGGCATTACTTAGAAAAATTGGCACTTAGGATCGGGCTCCCTCCCCCCCCCCAAAAAAAGGAGGGTCGCCAGGTGAGCAGCGCCCAAGACTCATGTGCACCTCAGTGATACAAAATGATCCAAACAACTGAAACGGGAGAGAGACGGCAATAAATAGACCGGGGGTGTGTGGGGGGGGTGAGTCCCAGGCTGGGCGGGGCCCAGCACAAGGCAGGAGTCGGGGGG